TTCCAATACTTAGAATTGTGAGTTATCTTGTTAGCCCAGCCCAGCCTCTCCTTCACATCCCTAGACCTGCGAGTTATCTTGTTAGACCAGCCCAGCTTTTCCTTCACAGTGGTAGAGTGTGTGCTTAGCATGCAGGAAGTCCTGAGTTCAATCCCCAGCACCTCCATTAAGATAATAATAATAATAAGTAAATAAATCTATATAGCACAGAGAACTGTACTCAATATCTTGTAATAACCTTTAATGAAAAAGAATGTGAAAACAAATATATGTATATATATGCATGAGTGGGACATAATGTTATACACCAGAAATTGACACATTGTAACTGACTATACTTCAATTAAAATAAATAAATAAATAAATTTAGTTCCCCCCAGCAAAAAGAAGTCCTGATGCCTTCCCCCAACCTCTCCCACTACGGCCGCCCCCTACCACAGGGGTATACTTGGTACACTGATGAACCTACATGAACACATCACTATCACTTGAAGTCCATAGTTTTTCACTTTAGGGTTCATGGTGGTGTAGTCTATGGATTTGGCAAATGGAAGATGCCATGTATCCATCACTACTGTATTGTGCATAATAGTTTCATTGCCCTAAATATTCCCTGTACTCTGTCTATTTATCCTCCCTACCCCCTATCCCCTGTCAACCATTGATCTTTTTACTAGCCCCATAGTTTTGCCTTTTCCAGAATGTCACATGGTTGAAACTCTACATCATGTAGCCTTTTCACATTGGCTTCTTCCACTTAGTCACATGCATTTAAGTTTTCTCTATGTCTTTCATGGATTTTTAGAGCTGACTAATATTCAATTGTCTGAACGTACCACAGTTTATTTATCCATTCACCTGCGGAAGGACACCTTGGTTGCTTCCAAGTTTTGGCAATTTTGAACAAAGTTGCTAGTAACGTCCATGTTCAGGGTTTTGAGTGGACCATACTCTATTCTTTAGAAGTAAGGTACCAAGTCCAGCGCCACTTCAAGGGGAGGGGAACTTAGCTTCCCCACTGAGGGAGAAGAGTTACCAATAAACTTTGGACAAAGATTAAGACCACCAAGGTGATTACTAAACACTCAGCAGGGGAGTGTATAGCTCAGTGGTAGAGTGTGTGCCTAGCATGCAGGAGGTCCTGGGTTTGATCCTCAGTACCTCCATTAAATAAATAAATAAATAAATAAATAAATAAATAAATAAATAAACAAACCTAATTACCTAAACCCAGGAGAAAAAAAATATTCAGAGGGAGAAACTTTGAGGCTTAAAGTTTTGCCCAGTAATTTTCTCATCAATCAGTGGATTCTACCTGCACCAGTTGTCATAGTGGTATTCTAATGGTGACCTTCTCTTTTCATCATTGTTTCACTTTTGTTAATTGGAATTCTTCTGTGAAGGTTTGTTCCTTCTCCCTCATTTTAAAATTGATTTAATTATGCATTTAAATCAGTATGGACTTGTGGACCTTTATTTTATTCTTTTGGCTATAATGCCAATGCTACTGCTATTTATCTTGTTCAAATTGTTCCAGCTTTGGCCAGTGGGAGTTCTTTCGGGCTGGCTCCTGTGTCCTTTTGCCGTTATTTTGGGGTTTTTTTGCCCTTCCTGGTGCTGGAAGATGCTCCAGGATCATTGTGCGTTTTTCTCTGTCCCAGCCCTAGAAGCAGCCATTTCTCCAAGGAACCCTGGCTTCTTGTACTGGAAAATGGTATTTAGAAACCAAGATCTGGGTGCTGAGTGTTCTCTGGGTACTGGGGTGTTAGAGCAGACAGAGCTAGGAAATATGTGTGTGTACCCTCATATCTCTATTTATTTTCTTATCTATTAAAATAAACATTCCCTAGTGATAACCCCATTCCAGCACAAAATTGCTTATTTGTAACTTCCTTCTCTGACAGCATAGAAACTGGCTGTCAGTATCTACAACATACGTACTTACTTGTTCAATGCTAGTACATAGCAGAATTAACCTGTACCCCTGTGAGAAACAAATGTACCGACTGGAGTACAGAGTGTCTGTAGAGTTCAGACTGATGTTTGAATGAGAAACCTCTGAGCCAAGCAAACAAACCCTGTGGCTGTGAGCCAGAGTTGGCCCTCGGACTTCCAGTTTGAGACCCTCCAAACCATGACTGCTCTGGTCTCTGGCCATGGGAAAGTCATCAGTTTGCACCTCCCAGCAGTCTTATTCATGCCTCAGGACTGGTCTGAGGGAGACAGACAGCAGAGAATGGGAAGTCCTGCTGCACTCTTCTGGTTCTCTGGATTGGTGGGGGTCTGAGGGAGACATTTTGCAATTTCAGAGGCAAGGACATGGCTCAGTGAGAGTGGGTGCAGGTTGGGTGGGGCGGCCCCTGTGGGTGAGGGTTCTGGCAGCAGAACCTGCCAGGCAGGTGTGCCGGCCCAGGCATGCATCAGGCAGACAGGCTGTGGCAGGAGCATGGAGGCCAGGAGTGCCCTTCCCCTGGAAAGAGACCGGGCTTGGCTGGGAGGGGTGGGGGCGGGAGGGCAGGGGCTCATGGGGCCTGAGCTGCACCCTCTCCTAATTCCTCCTCAGGGATACAGCGGTGACCAACAGCACCTGAGCAAACACGTATTGACCTCTCATCTCTGTGTTCCAGCTCTGTCCCATTCATTCCTCCTCAACAACATCCCTCAGAGTGGGAACTGTCATTATCCAGTTTATAAATGGGGGCACCAAGGCCCAGGGCAGGGTGTCAGTTGCCAGAATCCATGATTACAAAAGACTGACTCCAGACTCCAAGCCCTTAACATTTATTTACTCAATGACTGTACAGACAGACAGATAGACAAGGTCCTTGCCTTCCTGAAGCTGGGAGTCCAGGACAGAGACACACAATAAGCCAGATGAATAAATTATCAAGGTAATTTCAGATGCTGCCATGTGAGACTGGCAAGGATGGGGGACACATCATGGAAGACCTCTCGGCAGAGGTGACCAACTGGCAAGGGCTGATGGAAGGGTGTTCTAGGCAGGCTGATTCCCAAGTGCCAAGGTCTTGAAGTATGTGAGGAACTGGGGAGAGGCCAGTGGGGCTAGAAGGGAGCAAAGCAGAGGGAGAGCAGAGAAATAAGAAGGAGAGACTGTGCAGGGCCTTGTGGACCTTCTGGTTAGAATTTGGGCCACATATAGAGCCATGGAGGTTCTGGAGCAGGAGAGGGACATGATCTTGGGATATCTGGTGCATGCGGTGGCATGAGTTGAGGGTGCTGGGACCCATGGCCGGAAGAGTCACCCTCAGCCTTGTAGGGCCCGTGGGAGGTGAGACTGCTGCCTGGGAGGTGTGAAGCAGCCACTTTCCCACTGTGGGGTGCGGCTTCCCCTTTGCAAAAGGAGGTCATTTATCCAACGCACGCTATGTGCCAGTCATGGCTCTGCCACCTTCGGGAAATCTTCAGGGCTCATCCCAGTGGGCTTGGTGGGTGAAGGGGTCGAGCCCCGAGCCCCAGCACCTAACCCTTAATGAGCCCCCCACCTGGCCTATGCTGACCCCACTGACTGTGCTGTTTCTGCGTGTAAGCCGTCAAATAGACAGGAGCAGTTCTGTCTGGAGCCACAGGAATCCCCAAATCGCTACATGAGAATGCGACCCAGCCAGGGTGCCCCACACAGTCCCTCTCCCAGGGGCACCCCTCCATGCAACCCCATCCCCAGCCTCCGGCTCATCCTGGGACGCCCTCACTTGCCCTGTGGCCTGCAGAGCCTGAGACTGGCGGCTGGTGCAGAGGGCACAGTCCTGGTGAAGGATGCAGCAGCCAGGCCCAGCCCCACTTCCTGGCTGTGGCAAGCAGTCTGAGGAGGTTCCCAGCCTGGAAGCTCCTGGGAACTAGGGGCACAGGGTGCGGGACCAGCTGGGACTGGCCCGTAGGAGGAGTACAGGCCTGGGAGAGGCGTGGGAGAGAGAATAGACAGAGAAAGACAAAGAGCGACTGAGAGAGGCATACACTCAGAGACCGGGAGAAACAGAGATGGAGAGACCCCGAGAAACCAGAGGAGAGATGCACACAGAAAATGATGGAGCTATTCATTCATTCATTCATTCACTCACTTAGCGGCTACTTATTGGGCACCAGCTGTGTCCTGGCAGTGCCCACAACAGACGCAAATCCCTGCTCCCATGGGGCTGACAGTCTGGTGGGGGACACAGTCCAGAAACATGATAAAAGAGTAAATGACATTGTTGGGAGCGATAAGGGTAAGAGAGATGAGGTGGGGGAAGCGGGAGAACAAGGAGGACTTACGAGCAGGATTCTTCTTATCTGGGGAGGGGAAGGTTCCCACCAGAATCTTGCCTGCGCCTGCCCCTCCCCTACTAGCCCCGAAAGAGGGTTGGGAGCGGGGAAATGGGGTGGGACCTGCGCCCGGAAGCCGCCAGGACCAATCTGCTAGGGGTAGGGGATTGAGGCTTGCCGAAGACCCCCTCCTAATCCGGGGTGCTGGAGTCCATCCACCGACGGGGCGTCCAGGGGGTGCAGCCCAGGACGTTCAGTTGGAAGGTAGGCTGAAAATGGGGAAGCACCAGTGCCCAGGGCAGGAGGACAGACCGGACTCCTCTACTCGAGGAGATGGGGGGAAGTGGCTCAGGTTGTGGCTGCCCCAGCAGAAGAACCCTCCCCTTCTCGTGTCTTTTGGGTCCTCCTACCGAGACGGAGCGTCCCTGGGAGGCCAGCCTGGAGGGGGGAGTCCAGGGCTCGCCGGTGCCAGTCGCCGCCGGGGCGCGCTCCGGTACCGCTGTGGGTGGCACAGGCTGGCAGACACGGGCTGGGTGCCCAGGCCCTAAGGGGAGGGGGCAACTGCTTGCGACCGCCAGGGCCGGCGTTGCGGGTCCGCACCCCAGCCTGTTAGCTCCAGCCCCGCCCCCCGAACAGCAGCCGATCACTCCGCTCCGGTCAGCGCGACTGCTGAGGGAGCACCACCTGGGCGCAGAGGTGAGTGTACAGCACTGGGACCTTTCGGGCGCGGGGCTTGGCCTGGCCCGGAGGGGTTGCCCTAGCCACTACCCTTGTCCCCTTGCTTGGGTTTCCCGGGCCTTTACCGAAGGCCTCTCAGGAGGGGAAAACCGGCGACTCCGGAACTCGATGCGGGACCTGGGATGGGGGGTGGGGGACACCCGGAATCCCCCGGCCTCGCCCTCTCCCAACCACGCCACTGCAAGTTTCGCTACCTCACTCCTGCCTCCAGGCAAGCCACGGCGAGGCGGCCGGTGCACAGGCTGTGAGCCTCTGCGCAGTGTCCCCAACCGAGAAGGAGCGCGTGTAACATGTATCTGGGTGTATCTGATGCCCCCTCTCCCCAGCATGGCTGAGTCTGTGACTCCCTGTGGATCTGTATTTGCGCCTGGCTCCCAGTGTGCAGCTGACGCCATCTGGGATGCATTTGTTTCTGCCATGTCCAAATAAGTCCGTTCCCCTCCCCAGGCCTCGGTTTTCTCATCTGTTAACTGGGACTCCAGCAACTGTGTAACTGTTTCTGTGTGGATGTGCTTGTGTGGGAGCATGAAAACCTTTGTGCCTGCTGCTATGTGAGGTACTTCTTCTGAGCCTCAGCTTCCTAGCCTGTAAATTGGGGCCAAGGGGGGAATTGTGGAGGGGATTAAAGGGCACATTCGTAGGTGGGAGGTATTATTATACTTTAAAGACATGTCTGACCCGCAAGAGTCTGTCTCTGAGACAGACAGTCTGTGGATCCTGTCTGCTGCCCTCAGGCTCTGCCTCTGCAAAATGGCTGGATGGGTTCAGCTTTCTCACTGGGGGTTTTGCGGTGGTTGAAGGGGGTTTCACAGGAAAACGCCCTGGGTGCAGTGAGGCCTGCAGATTGTGGGACTCTGGGTCCCAGGCTGGGTGTGGGTGGAGGCTGTGAAATTCTGGCCTGTGAAACTAGGCACTAGGTCCCGTTTGTGCGTGGTGGAATTTGTATATCTCTGCCTGTGGCACTCTGTCCACGTGTAAATGTATTTTCTTATTTCCATAATGGGGTGTAACTGAGCATTTTGCTCTAGTTTGTGACTATGTGTGTCCATGTCCTTGTCCGTTTGTCGCTGTCTTTGTGTGTACATTTCTGTGTGTGGCTGTTTCTGGCTGTGATTAATGTGTCTCTGGATATCCCTGCTTATGTGTGAATTATTGGTGTCCCTTTCCCTATGGGACTGTGTGTTATCTTGTCCCCTCGTGGTATTATTTGTGTGTCTTTGTATCGGTCTGTCTCCATGGACATCCCCTTCCACCCCGAATTCCCTACGGGTCAGGGCGTGCGTGTTGGGTGGGGAGTAGAGGGTTAGGATCCCCTTCCCAGGTGAGGCCCCGCGGGTGTCCGCCTCCGCAGCCGCGGGGATGGCGCGCGCCAGGCCTGACATTGCCCCCAATCTCTCCTCAGCTTTGGGGCTGGCGGCCCATGGAGCCGGGGCTGCTCCGGCCAGCACCGGTGAGCGAGGTCATCGTCTTGCATTACAACTACACTGGCAAGCTCCGCGGTGCGCGCTACCAGCCTGGCGCTGGGCTGCGCGCCGACGCTGTCGTGTGCCTGGCCGTGTGCGCGTTCATCGTGCTCGAGAACTTGGCCGTGCTGGTTGTGCTCGGACGCCACCCGCGATTCCACGCGCCTATGTTCCTACTCCTGGGCAGCCTCACGCTGTCTGACCTGCTGGCGGGCGCCGCCTATGCGGCCAACATCCTGCTATCGGGACCGCTCACGCTGCGCCTGTCGCCCGCGCTCTGGTTCGCGCGAGAGGGCGGCGTCTTCGTGGCGCTGGCCGCATCGGTGCTGAGTCTCCTGGCCATCGCGCTCGAGCGCCTCCTCACCATGGAGCGCCGGGGACCCGCGCCCGCCACGCGTCGAGGGC